CCTGCTCAAAGGCTTTCTAGGATTCTTGCTGGATCTCATGTCAACAACAAGCTTAAAACATGGAAATTTGACTACAAGCACTGGTGTAAGGTGTGGATGATAACTCACTGATTATTCTTTTATTAGTTTTAGTGATTTTAATTTCAATTTCTGGGTGCCCCACATTTGGATGGCACCACGCAGGCCAGCAAAAGGCACCCCAAGCTGCAGCTGTCATCGAATGACACAGCTTGGGAGCACTCCCTGCCACCCACCAGGATGAAGCGGCACCAGCGGGTGTCCCCGGTCCAGCATAAAGCCGCTCCTTCCGCCCAGCGCTGGGGACACGGCCCCGCTGTCCTCTGCCAGCCTGGCAGATTCCTCGGCACACCCACTGCGGGGAGGAGTGTTATTAACTGCAGATGTCATTATTGTCCTGAGCTGCTGTGAAGCCTCTCCCTGCACTGCCAAATAAGTGCCAGGTTTTACCTCAGAGGCAGGACAGGGGTTCTGCACACTCTCCCCACACATTAACTCCTTATGACCACTGGGGCTATGGGCAGATACTACTTTCTTCCTTTTTTTCATTTAATCATTATAGTTTTTCTGGACACATTTCTTTATCCAGTGTTTCCAGGTTCATTGTCACCAATAATACAGTCCTGAGAAATCCCAGGGATTCATATAAGTTACCTGAGAAATCTCAAGAACTTTTAACCTAATCTTAAACCCTAAATCCTCCACTATTATAACTGGGTTAACAGAGCTGTTAATGGAACAGTTTCTCATTACAGACAGGAATTGTCATGGGGAAAACGGCAAATAACTTTAGGTAGCTGGGTTTGACACAGTAGAAAACGTCGGTTTTTCACAAGCTTTTTTAATTGTTTTGGTTTGAAAGGGATCATTTTGGGCACTTCAATGTAAAGTGACAATGGCTGCAATTGAGCAAGAGTGCAACCAAATGGCCTTTTTTTCATCTTCTTTCATGCTGTACATCTGTCAGCAGAGTACACAGTACATACTCAGATGCACAGATCTTTTGGCTAGAGCTCTCTGAAATACAAGCTTTCTGGGGTATGAGCTATTTTGATATCTTTACCTATGGCAATTACCATTTGATGTCATCTAGATATTGGCTCCGCTTGCACTGGACCAGAATCAGCCCTACTGTCCTCTTCCTCTCCCAGGCAGCTACATGGGGAAAGGGAGAAAACATTTTTCATGCACTCATGGATGTGAGCAAAAGCAAAACGAGCCCCATTCTTCCTCTGTCTGGCTTCCCATAACCTGAGGAAAAAGAAGGACCCAGAGCAAACAAAAACTGCTACACAATCCCTCTTTTGGAAACAAGAGGCCACCAAAGGAAAGGCAACTGCCCAAGGCACTCCCAGCTCATAACAAAAGTGTTCTTGGAATTGTAGGGAATAATGCAATTACAGAGAACCCAGTCAAAACACTTAGCTAAAAAACTATGCACTGTAGTTCAGAGTGCACTGAAAACAGAGAAACTTTTTTACTTACCTTGGCTGCTCCTCAAAATCATATGAGCTTTCCAGATCACATGTCAGGATACATCATCATCTTAAGCATCTCAGCCAAATTTATTTGCCTCCATACCCAAGCGCAGATGAAGTACTTTTTCCCGCTTCCACCAATCCCCTCCTTGTGTGGTTACAGTTTTTCCTCAAATCAGCTCTGTCTCATGCCCTCCTGCTCCCAACCGAGGAGGACAGCACTTTTCTATCATGTGACAAGCAAATGCTTTCTCCTATTTCATATCTAAACTCAAATCCAGATTTGTATGCAACCTCTCTTAATATTATCAAAACTTAGAAAGCCCTCCCCCCTTCCCTGAACTTTGACTTTACTCCTGTATTAGTTACATTGCTCAGAGGAAGGAGAGAAAACTTTTACATGGCGATGCATCTCTAAAATACACCACCCAAACACTAATACCAAAAATCACCATGCAACACAGCTGTTAATATAAAATAGAGGCAGCATGTAACTAACATTTCCAGATTCTATAGCCTGTGATCATGCTAATCTGTTTCACATGAAAGACTCATCCCTTTATTTGTAGATGAGATGAGTTAAGCAAATGTCTGTGATTAGAAACAGAAAAACCAACCATGGCAGACAAATACTGGATGTATATGCATGAGACTGTAATGCCTGAAAAAGACTTGGAAAAATTCTCTAACTGAAGTGGTACTGAAAAGTCCTGTTAACACCTGATTGACTTTTATGTCTCTCTCTATGGATATAGAGTTATATCCATCAGTGAAATTTAATCCTAAAAGGAGTTGGCAACCAAAACTACTAAAATAGTTTTCGACATTAAAATGCAGCTCTCACCTATACCTCCCTGTAATTTAGAAATGAGATTTAAATTGCATGTAAGTTTTTTATAATAATGGGACCTTGTCACCTCCCAATATTTTTGCCACTTTTAAAAACTGAACTCCAGAACTCCAGAAGATGAGACGCTTGCATGTGTAACTGTCATCTTCAAAATCATAAACAAACACCAGAAACTTACATCCCATTTAGCTCACCTATTTTAAATCATATAAATTTAGATTACATCTGCTAAGAGGAATCCTTTCTCCAGTTTTCCATTTACTAAATACCCACTTCCCAAAAGAAAAAAACCTGAATAAATAATGTCCTCCTTTATATAACTGTTCTAGAAAAAAAGATGGGGAAAAGAAAAAAAAAATGCACTATCTAGTACTTTCAGCACCTATGATATTATTAATTTCAGTTCACCAAACTTAAACCCCATTTCTGACATGCATCTTTTGTTGAGTGAAGTAAATAGCTAAGTTTCATTAGCTCAAAGGGACTGAACATACAGCAGTGATACCAGATAAGGCTTTAAGTAGCAGTAGCAAAGGAACCAAACAATTTAATAGTTTTGATATGTGAAGATATTACAAATAATGACAAAAAGCCTTTTATGGCTTAGTGAGGTAGCACTCACAGTGGTGCTGTTGACTTACACTTTTCAGGTACAGCTCTTAATGTCATTCAGCAATCCTAAACTTGGACATTTTTGCACGGAGTTGCCAAGTCTACCCGCATTAATCTCTCAGCGAAAAGAGCCCACTTACCATTGGGAGAAGTATATTTGATAATTAAAATTCCATTTTGAAAAGTTTTACCAAGGCACTTTTTTTTCCCCTCCTTACACAAGACACATAATCTTAATTAACAAAATCAAATGTGCAAGGCAAAAGCAGTGCTGTGCCAAAGACACAGTACCGGTCATGTCACTCCAGGTATTTTGTAAGCAATTTGTACCTCGGCAGAAGTGCAACATCTCCAGTTCCTTCATACCTTGCTCTCCAAATATCAGTGTTGCTTTCCCTGATCGAACTGACCTAATGATCTCCTAAGAGCCACAATAAATGAACTCAAAATCACACTGGAGATTTGCCTGGAATCGTGCCTGCTTGCTGGTATTAGCAGCGTAACAAAGGGGACAATCCCCTGAGACATGCCACAGGGAGCAGTTAATGATGGCTTTTACCACCTTTCTGTTATGTTAGGTCAGTCCTCCAGCCAAGGCTCTCACTTGTATTCCAGCCCCTGCACTAGAGGGAATAAGGCAACAGCAGCAAAAAAACCAATTCAATAAACATTTCATATAGGTAGGGGAGTATTCCCAGTGTGGGCACTGAGGAACACATTGACCAAACTTACTTGAAAAGGCACATTTGTGCAAGCCCTGGTACAAGGGGCAGACCAACAGCATAGCTGCAGCACTGGCACAAAAGGCACTGTAAGGAGGTTGCTAAAACATATTTTCCAGCCTTTTGAGCAAGGCAGGTTGGGAGTAATTAATCAAAACTGCCACTCCCATTGCTCTGGTCTGCACAGCACAATCCCAAACAAGACAGACACCGCAGAGCTTCTCAGAGTTAACAACAGAAGTGGCTGGAGCTCAAGCAGCAGCTTCCAAGGACACCGCTCAGAGGGTACAAGAAAGATGTAAGGTGTGTTTAAAGCTGTGGTAAGATGAAAAATGAGATACTGGGTTTATAAATGAAGACTTAGACAACTTCTGGAAAAACAGAAAGACTTGTCTGAAGACAGGTTTTCCCTATGGAACAGTTTGAAGGCAATGTACTTTTTGAGAGAAGAGGTTCTTGCACAAACCTCTGGGAGATAATGGGCAAACACTATGTGCTAGACTGCAGACTGCATTTTCTAGGTAACTTTTTTTTTGCTGGTAGACACTGACTCACTGAAATACACACCTCATTATTCAGTCTCCTTTTACTAATATTTTTACCAGATACTTCATGAAGAAATAAGATAAGTGACTATTGCATGGCGACTTAACCACCCATATAATTTCCTGAAAGTCAGTTTCTTGGAGGGTTTTAAAAAAATAAAAACAGAAAAAAGAAAGAGAAAAATAGAGAAGCTCCTGTAGTCTTTTAGGAGCCAGAAAACCTAAGTTCAGCTTTGGCAGGAACTTCCATCAAGGCTTTCCAGAGAGCTGCATGGAATTACATTTTCAAAAGGACTTAAAAGGTTTAGGAGCCTGTCTCATTGTTAAAAGTGATTTAGACTAATGAGCTTAAGCATTGCTAAATGCACTGCTTCATGCTCTGTCTTGTCCAGCCCAGTGAGGGGTAGGGTTCTCCACAGCTACTGACAGATTCAGACACAGGGGTTGAAACACAGGAATTGTCTTTCTACAGTTTCCAGAAGGAGGTGACTGGCCCTGACCAGCTAAAGCAGATAGGAACACAGACCTTTGCCCAGGTCAGTATAAACCATCATGGAGTGAGACTGTGCTCCCAGGCTGGGCTGTCACCTCGAGCAGCGCCCCTTCTGCTGCTCATGGCTCAATTACAGAGAGTCAAGGCAACAGTACCTTCTGTGGCTGCAAACACCTTCACCAGAGGCCATCTGGCAAAGCTCCTCAGCCCGAGACACTTTGAAAAGCAGACCTGGGTGCTTTGACAGCGGCACAGCCCCCCCTTCCCCCTGCCACACTCCCTTCTCCTGCTCTAGTCTGTGATTTCTTTCTTGTTCTAATGTGAAGTTTCCTTAGGATAAAGGGAGGCAAGTCACACATAATACTTATCAAAGTGTTTTATTCCATTTGCGCTTTTGCAACAGAAAAATTGTTTTAAAAAATTTGGATGTACCACGGTATGCTTGACCTAAATTCTTCAGTGGTGTTCCTTCATGTTGTGAGAGACTCGAAATTAACTCCTAAATATGTAAAATTTTGAACATGAAACATGAAAAATGACAAGCCTATTCATGAGCTGCAGTGTTTACTTTCTCAAAATTAAGTTGACAGGCTTTCTGGTTCTTTGTTTTCTATTGACAATAAGTCACCATTCTATGACATGTAAGATCTGTGAACTTTCACGTGGAAGGGTGAGGTAGGTAGGAGTGTAATTGTGGCCTTGTAGTCATATCAGGTAGATGTTTCTGCTAAAATATTTAGAATTAAAGGAGTTTTTAATTTAAGCTTTTTATTACACCATGATTAAAAAAATTGTAAATCAGTGTTTTGATGCCCTCCAGCTCTCAGTACCTAGACAAAACCAATAAATTTGGTCTAAACAAACTCTGAACTCCTAATAAATGACCTGTATTCACTTATAAATTGAATATCAAGCTCAATTCAATCATAAATTGAGTATCAATGAATGTGCTGTGCTAAATTGGTTGCTTTTTCAGGATAGCTGAAAAAGGTATATAAAGCCCAAGCCATTCAGCACATGTATGTGGCTCACAAACAGATTTTAGCAGTAAGTTCTACCTGCTCAAGCATTTTGTTGGATCAAGTCCTCACTTTTTACCCATCCAAAGCTCCATTTAAGTCAAAAGAAATGTTTTTTGAATTATGGGCTGAGTAAGAAACTAATATGGACCCCTACTCCTGGCCACACATTAGTACCATATCTCTTTGCCATTGCAATTCTAATCCACTATGTTATCTGTTGTTTGAAGCTCATCTCACTACAAGTTTCCTAGGGAACAAATTCAGGAGCACACACACACACACTACTAAGAATCCTGCCTCACGTAAGTTTGGTTTGAGATGATGGAAGAGCACCAGTTTGCTTACATTCACCAAACCTGATACTGAAACAGGTCCAGAGCTCAGGGGAAAGAATGAAAGGTCTGGGCTGCACGTTCTTCGTTCACAGCACACCTTTGCTTTTGTTCAGAAAGCCAGGGAACCTTACTGCCTCTGAAAGTATGTTTTCTTTTTTCTGAGCTTCAGGTGGATGGCAGTTATGACAAAACCTGCCAGGGTTGCTGCTGTGCCAGAAACCACGTAGGCAATTCCCAGGAATGGGTTACTTCCTCCACTCCATACCACGGTTGAGAGGATCACGTGCTTCCTTCCCTTGAATTTGGAAACAGGGAAATCTGATAGAAGGATGTTAAGATTTCACTAACAAAGTTTATATTATTTCCAGGAGAAGAGAAAAGAATGGTTAAATGCTCAAAAACCTTTCCAAGGCATAAAGAATCTGGAGGTCTGCATTTGCTGCCAACTCCTTTAACTGATCTGTGATGTCTCTGCTATTCTAGATCCAAAAACCTGGTAGCAGCTGGTGGTAAGAAATCCAGTTATTTTAGTTACAGTCTTCATGTGCACCTGGAAAGACTTTCTTTTTAAAAACATTGCAAATTTCAGATTCATAATTTATATAACTGCTACTGCATTAATTTGCTATGAAAACTTGAAAACGAGCCTTTGGGGCAGCTTATGATGATACTCCACACAGCCTCAGTGAGGATAAACACTCACCTCTACCTAATATGTCGTACCCAGAATGTTATATGATTTTATCTTTCATTTCTCTCACGGAAGCTTTCAGAATAGGCTGTGCCATATTTAAAACCATAGCTCTATCAGCTGAGAGAGAAATTTACAGTCATCCTGACATAACTCTTGCTGACAAAAGGAGTGCTTTAGTCAGCAAAGTTCCTGCTGTTGGGTGTGAGAGGGCATTTGAACCAGCACAAAAGCTCCTGTTAGTCAGCACGTGGCCCAAATCCATCAGAAAGCTCTGGTGACCCAGGCATCCCCTGCTGTTCTAAGCAGCAGGGACACCTCTGCACATCGTGCACCCCCGTAATGGAGCCCACCCATCTGATTAGGCCATTGTTATTTTCAGCTAAAACAGCATCTTCAATCATCCCTTCAGGTTCCCATTCTTCAGTTTTACTTGTGTGATGCACCTGTGTACTCTCACCAGCCAAAAGTAGCCCCCTCAGAAGTCAGAACCAAAGTCACGTGCTGCTGCTTGAGTAACAAGCCTTAACAGCCTCTGCATGGGCTAAAGAGAGTCCATCATCACTGACTGTCTCATTTTTCTTGGTGAGTCAGTCTGGGGCGTTCTGTGCAGTTTCTTTGCCAGTTTACCACAAAAATCCTACCCGCTTCCATCTCACTGTAACTATCTCACAGTCTTAGATAATATGAAAGGATACTGTAGGAAATCCGGAACGTGTAATTCCCTGCTGGCAGGCCATCCGCAAAGTGCCTGATCCGCCTGACACGGCGGTAAAGATTTCTGAACGTGGCAAAGGCTGACACTCGCATCCAGATGATGAAGTCATCATTGACATAACCCGTGTTCCTCTCATCTCCCTCGTCTAACAAATACACTGGCTTCTGCCAGTAAGGAGGTCTTGCTGTCCCTGATGGAAAAGAAACAAAGCAGGTAAGACACACTGACAGTAAGAACAGTGGTTGCTGGCTAAATTCTGGGCCTACTCAAAACCAACACAGAATATGAGATATGGAAGAGACACGAGACACTGCCCAATATTCAGAAATTATATATGCTAGGTAACAGTTTTCACCCAAGCATCTCCACTCACCTCAAACATGAATGAACAGTTTAACAGTACTCAGAGGTTGCCACACATTAGAAACTTCAAGCTCAGGAAAAACAAAGTGACTTGCACAGATGAAAATACTGTTTATTCTGGATTCTTGTTGTCTCTTCAACAAGCAATGATGAGGAGCTTGCCTTCATTTTTATACATTAATTTACTCCTGCACAACCAGAGAGGCACCTTTTTGTAGCCTAATGGCATGGCCTATGATATTTAGAATCTGTCTCATGAAACTTAGTTAATTAACTCTTGCATTTTTCATCCAGCACAGCACTGCCCTGATGCACAATAGGGAGGTATTAGTCCCACTTCAATACAGATCAACCATAACAAGGAAAGAGCCCTCGGAAAGAGGTGTGAAAGAACTAGTGAGGAAAGCAGTCTCAATTGTCTCACAACTGCCTAAGAATCTGCAAAGGCACAAAGGAAAGATGTGACATGCAACTCTCCTATACAGATGTTTCCAATAGGAAAAAAACCCCAAAGCAACTGCATCCTTGCTTTCCCTGGTCAGATTAAGCATTACAAGTAACGGTACAGAAGGGTGTTGATGTGGGCTAATTTCAGTCTTCCAAACCCATTTTCTTCCAATGTCTGTGGTCACTAATTAAAAAATAAAAAGGTGATATTTTGGCTAAATGTGTCTTCTGCTCTTAGTCCCCTCTAAAGCTGCTTCTCCAACCTGCTTTGGGAGGTATTTCTCCCCAAAGAGATTTTTCTCAGAATGAGAGACACATGAGCAGCGAGGTAGGGAAGCCATTGAAAAATGAGGAATACCAGCAGAAGGAACCATTCTTACCTGCAAATGCAGAAGAGAGATTGTATGATTCAGGATTGCGAAATTTCACATTTTTATCTGTCCACCAACTGTTTCCAGTCTTCAGCAGTGGCACTTGAATCACAGATGAGTTACGATTGTAAAAAAGATCAATAGTATCTGCAGGGAATACAGTAAGCAATACCTTTGAGTAAAAGACAGTCATTCTAATTACCAGCATGACTAACAAAAAAATGTCACACTGAAGCACCTTTCAAGTGAATAGAAAACCAGAAAAGTCCTGGGAAAGGTTTCATCATGACTGTGTACAGAACAAGAGAAGAATTAGGGTTCCAGAGTTGTATAACTTCTGAAGTTTCACACTGAACATACTCCTACAAATAACCCTATTGAAGAAACAATGCCTTGTAGGAACATGGGCACATGTATCTCATATCCATCAACTCCTGTGGGATTAACTTCTTTGCAAATCACTTTCAGAGCTCTCTGGCTAGCTACAGAAGTTACTCTCCTAGTACTCCAATACTTTCCTTAGTATTCCTTCGGCAGTTGTCGTCAATAACGTCATATAACGTGTTTTCAGGGAAGAGGGGAGAGGTGAAAGCACTATCAAGGGAATACAATTAGAGCTTGTCTATCACTTTGGACACGAACACTTTCTTCAATCAAAAAATATGCAGTTAAAATTGTGCTGAACCATGCCATCCTGTTTCAGTGGGTGAAGAGTACTTGTTTTATCCATTTTCCTACTTAGATTAGTTTAACAAAAGGTAAAAATAATAGAGGTCTCATTAACATCTCTCTAAACATCTGGGTGCCAATGGGATGAAGCAGGGATAGCTGGATGATAGAGATGGGGAGGGGATGCTTTTTAGGAGACATGAAAAACACAACTCAGCTGCATGACATCAGCAGTACCTTTTTTTTATCCTGCTACAAAACCTGTGTTCACACTCCTTAAAGCTCAGACACATTCTACTGAGGAAGTGATCATTCCGTGTCCCACCACTTCCCCATCTGTTTGTCACCAGTTCATTATCAGGAGTTGCAATTCTTTGAGCTCTGTCTGCTTAAATGCTTGCCTTGACTGCTCCCTCGCATGCTACTTTGGGTTAAAAACCTTTCCTGTGGCAGGAACTTGGCCATCTTCCCCATTTTATAAAACAAGATCAGAGAGCAGTCAAGACAACCAGCTAAACTGCCAAAGGCAAAAGGGAAGCACCTTCTCTCACAGGAGAGGGTCAGAAATGAGCTACCAGAGGGGGGGGATTCAGACATCAATTCCTTCCCCCGCACCACCAGCAGATGGAACTTTTCACCACACTATGCACTAAGGACAGATGCAAAGGCAGACACTGGGAGGTTCACCCTCGGCAGGGGCTCCAGAACGGTGTGGGCTGCACGCAGGTAGCTCTGCTGGCCTAGGTCTGAGCCCAGCCCAGTAAATCAGACTTCCAGGGCAGCAGGAAGGTGCACAGGCAGATGAAAATCAAATGGATCTAAAAGTTACTGAATGCAGCTGGCCTTCACAAGTCTTCTGCTGCGGGTGGCTCAGCTGGCTGAAAACAGCCTCTGCCTTGCCAAAACCTGCTGTGTGCAACAGGTTAAAAAAAAGGGTGTTGGGGCAGAGGGGCAGAGATTGGCAGATAAAAAAGATGGAGTAGGGGAGAAAAGTCTGTAAAGGTTTTTTGTCTCCTTTCTTTCCAAATAAATACATTCTGAAATCTCCTAAACTCATAGGCAGGTTATGCCCACTAGGTTACTTAAAAGATCATACATAGGATCAAATTAAAACTGTGTACGCTTCCAGCTTTCAAAGATCAAAACTGAAAACACATAGATCCAAAGGTCCAAACCAATTTGGAGAACGTGTCACCTCCTTCTAAGCACACCATGTGGGAAGGCACAATCTGTGCTTTCCCATCACTGTAAAGAATGTACTTTTTAGAAAGGAAGTACACTAAATCTGTTGTATCATTGTTCCTTATTTCACCAGGGACTCAATTCCTCAGTCTTGCTATACATACACATTGAAGAGGGCCTTAAAAATGAAAAATGTCCCTCTGTTTCAAAACAAGGGGAAAGTTACTAAACAGTAGGAAGCGGAGCCCCATATTCACCAGAGTCACCACCAAACAACACCTTTTGTGGGAGGAAGACAGAGACCTTGCAACATCGGCCTAGTAATGGAATCATTTCAAGTATGGGGTAATGGAACACTCATGGGGTAATGGAATAGTTTCAAGTGGAAATTACTAAGGTGGGTGTGGAAGGTACGTACATACCATTGAACATGCTGTTGGCAATAGCCCCGCACGGCGCCATGGGGGTCCCATTTTTGTAGGTGGTGAAGGGTGCACAGTAGCTCCTCTGAATCTGCATTCAAGGTCACAGAACAATCAGGCACAGACCTGGAGTTTTGTTTTAATTTGCTGCTGTCCTGCCCCATTCCTTCTTCTGAAAAGCCATTGAAAAATTAAGCCTCCAGTACCTTCTGGTCACATTAGAGAAACATCCGAATGAATGAGTCTGTAGTTGAGGAACACATTCCATATCATGGCACGTAAAACTTAAGGTCTTCATCAAATTCTGCTGTGGACTTGCAAGCTCCAGACTACAAAAACAGATTTGGGGATCTGCTATTGTAACACGGCTACAGCTGAAAATGTTCCAGAGAAGCCTTGACTTATCATAGAACATCTTATTTTTCCTTCTTTTTAATTTTGACCTGGACTGCTTTAGTGCTGGAGAACAGCAGACATAGTTAGCCACAGTACTGCAGTTCAACATGGAAAAATCTTGATGCATGAACTGAAAAATAAAGGTCCACCTTCAATTTATCACCTCTCCCCTATCCTAGTTCATGGGAAACCACAAATCTTCAGGTTTAAACATGGAAACATTTTCAAGTAACTCCAGTGAGCTGTGTATCTGATTGGCACAAAAGCCAAAAGCAGTTGCATCTGGATGCAAACAAACAAGCTGACAGGACACTTAGAGAAGCAAATGTATGAGGAACATGTCTTGAACATTACAAGAAGCATTTTATAGAAACAACAGATTATTATAACACAACCATCATACATACTGAAAGGACAGCATGTGGATTGTGTGTATATTAAGAAATGCTACTTTTAAGCCAAAGAAAATATGGTTTAGATTTTTAAGTAAAAAAACCTGAATGCCATGATTGCGTTCTCCAATTTCCTTATGCAGGTCTGCTGCAGGCAATGCTGTCTAGCTCCCTCTTTAGAGCTCTAAATTGTGTACTTAGAATGCTACATAAACACTTATTTCATCATAAACCTTTTCCTCCTCCTTGTCCACTTCCAAAGACAGATGGCAAAATGAAAGACTTAGAATAACTTAACTCCCTAACCCTATAACAAAAGCACAGCTCAAAACATTTCTGGCTAAGAAGACTGAAAACATGAGAAGGAGAAGCTTTCTGTAAATTTATTTGAAAAAGACAATGTATTTTTGAGTAGCACTCCTACAAGGTGCAGGTTTGAGAACTGCAACACTGGACTGACAGCTTTTATTTATCCCCTCAATCTTCCTCCCTTATTAATTTATTAGATCTAATGACTGTAGCAATCATAAAAGCAGAGACCAAACACTAAAAATCTGTACTTTATCATTCCCTAGAGCCATCTAGACACACTTAACAGTTATGCCTAGTTAGCTCTCCATATGGTAAAAGATGCACCTGCTGGTGATCTCATAACATAAAAAGAAAACTTACATTTACATTTCGACCCAACAATTGTGCGTCACTTCTGGAGATCATGTATCGACGATGGTTTTGATAGAAGTTTTGCAGACCATAGTACATAAAAACATCACCCTAGAATTCAAAGATAAATCCCTTCAATAAAGTGAGTTCATGAACACAATGAGAAATCCTAGTACTTGCTAAAAAAGAGAGGGGAAGAGAGTACTCAATTTGTATTTAAGTGTTGGTAACTACACTCTAAGCAATTCAGCAGACACAGGCTAGAATCTAGTCTTTACCCTAACTGAAAGTTTTAGTATTTTGGCACAAAATTAAACATACTTTAAATTACCAAACGAAACCTAAAATAAAAATGTCTGATAATTATTTTACTCAAGGTGGCATGGCTGGCCATGAACTTGGCCAATGAATAATTTCACAGAGACAGACACTCATTTTCCACAAAAGAAGGCGCACAAAAACCTTCAAATTAAATGGAGAATGCTAGGCAGGCAACTCAAGCATGAAAGATAATTATTCAACTATAAAACCCCCCCATTTTTCAGTTAAACTAACTTCTCATGTCAAACATCACTGTAATCTGAAGAATTACAAAGTATTTTAACAGCCTCTTCAATACTGAAGAATCCAAAAGTGACTTTATAATTTAAATTGCATTATAATTTTAAGGGAGCATTTATGCAACACTAAGTATAAGATCTCTTTGGTGGAACACGAAGCATTTGAACAGTCTCAACAACATGACCTGTTAGTTTAGGACAGGAAATGAAGGATACTTTTTCCAAATGAAACTGCAGAATCACATTGCTAGACTTGAGTTATTTCAGGGACCTTGGGGATTAACAGCATAACCCTTGTGAAAAAGACTACAGGGGTTTACTTATGTAAAGTGGTCAGAGCTTCAGATTTCCTTCTCAAGAGCTTAGCAGCGCAGTAACAACTAACCCCAGGCCAAGGGCAAGGGTTTGCTACTGACTCAGAGGGAGATACAGAGAGACGTCACCTCCATAATCAAATATCATTTCCTTCATCCCCGTCTTCTCCTTGGACATCTCCCAAATAAGGACAGAGGTAGTCTGGACTTGATTATTTTTAACAAATCCAAAATGATTAATGAAGGCAAAAGCGTAAAATTTTGAGTATTTCATGCTTTGAAAAAGTACAAAGAAAATTTAGTCAAGAGCTTTACAGAACAGAATTAGCATATTTTATCATACAGGGATATAAGTAACAGGTGGTACTAAGCAAATTCAGTTGTTTCTTGCATCTACTTACCAATATATCTTCCTTTAGCGTGAAATTAACAGAACAAAGGCATTCCTTATTCCAGTTAGAGGAATTTTCACGGAATTTTGAACAGTCTGAGCATTTATCTGAATAATCTATCTGGCAGAAGTGAACAAGTAGAGACATTATAATAAAGGACATGCACATAAGAAAAGGTTTTAGCTCCAAGACTTCTCAGAGCAGTTTTCTTCTAAGTGACTCCACACTGCCAAAAAACATTATTAAAAACGAAGAGGCAGAGAATGAGGACTTGGCCTCAATGAACATTCACAAAATTTATCCCCAGTTTAAACCTGTTTTAGAACCTTCTGATGACTGTTGCAGAACCTTCCCATCTGCTCCTCGGCAAAGGAGTGCTGAGTGAAGAACACTTCTGCACCTTCTGCACTTCTGGCTGACCAAGTAATGCTTGACAAATCTCCACGTGCATCGTGGCCCACCCCTGTTGAACAGCCTGGACGTAGTGCTGAGTGTTGGCTCCAACCAGGAGTCTATTAACAACACCACAGGTCTAAAAAACCTTTCCTCCAGGAGGGATTTAAACATTAGGACTCCCTGTATTTTAAGATTTTGCCTGGGGAAACATATATTCTTCTAGTACCAAACACTATCAAAGGGATTTGTTTCTTTCCCTTCAAAATCCCAGGAAATAATGGCAACATTTCAGGGATTACCAGCCAGTAGCAGTAATCATCACCCATATTTCAGACATTACCACCCAGTTAACCACCCAGTGCTTGGGTTTTATTGATGACTGACAATCTCTGCAGATTTTCACAGGAATACTAGCTGTTGGACGTATGTCCAGGGCGTGAAGCCATTGCTACCATCTTTATTCAGAAGTAAAAATTCAAAGCCTTTTCCCTCCAAACCTAGCCCAGTTTCTATCTTACAGAATATCTAAGAACACCAGCCCCAAACCAACCTGGATTTCTCTGACGCTGTTTGCAGACAGTATGAGGCAGACTCCCACAGTAAGGCAGAATGCGCCCGTGAGGAAGAAGCTGGAGAGCACAGTCACAATATTAAGCTGGGGCTTCCAAGCTGGCAGCCTCTGCTGTTTGAATGCACTGTTATCTGGACATCTGGAAGGATGCGCTTCTTCTTCTTGTGAAGGAAAATTTGTCTTGTTTTTCATTTTCTTCTTGGTGAGAGGAAGGAATAATACACTTGTGCTGGAGAGTGTTTAAGCTGAGATACTGTCTTTATTGCTGGGAGACTGTATTGTTTGTTCAAACTGCATTATGGCCGGGAATTACTTATTAACTACATCTCTCTCTTCCTTGTTTTCTGTATTGTGCCTGGATCCCCATGATCAGCTTGTACCAATAATATGATTGTGTACTTTGATCAGGGTGTCCAGTTCATGCCTTCTAGAAAAGCTTAAATATATTTTTCCTGCCCCACAGCTCTTGTTATGTAGGATTTGTTATGTCTTACTCATTTGCAGGGATACTGTCAGCTATACTGGAATTTCTATGTAATGTCAGATGCATTATTTCTTCTCCCTTCACTTCCATAGCTGCTCAGCTAACAGGCAAGGCATACAACGAAAGGAGTTCTATTCCAAATGCACTGGATTCCACTGGGGAGGACTGCAGGAACTCAGACAGCACTGGACAGAAAACATTGCTTTGAAGACCAAACCAATTTTCTTAACCTATTACATTAATTGCTATTGGCTGAGGTGCAATTAAAGGCTGTAAAAAGATTATGGGTCCTTTATCACTCATTTTCAAAATATCTGATTTGGATCAATGGCTTTCCAAGATGATTTCATCACCTCTATTCACCTTGTTCTCTGAAAAAGAATCCCTACTATCCACAGTGACAGAAGAAACACCCAGAGTTCATCTCCTTTTAATTTCAGTGGACAAATAGAAGAATATTTTTGGCACATTTCAACAGTTTAACCAAAATAAAATCTCGATATAATATACAGATAATTTATCATGTAAAAGCAAAAAACAGCATTTGGCCAGCTCTAGTACAGGTAGGTGAAAAATATCTTTTTGACCTACTACTGAAATTCATACAACTTTTGCAAGGACACTCGAGGGCAAGAACTAGATTACCACTCTCATGAGAGAAATACATGTCTCCTTTGGGAAAGCAGAAGAGAACAGAAAATTGAGCTGTACAAAGACTTGCACACTCAGGTTTGCTCATCTTTGAAGTCTTAATAGTGACATATAGTACTAAATCTAGCAGGTGAAAGCAATAACGTAATTCTAATTTCAGTATGACATTGTTCCTGCAATAAAAATCACACTAAAACTACAAACAAAACTTCTCTTTTATTATTAAAAGAAAAGGAAACTCAGAAAAAGTTGTAATGTGCATTCTTGATGTCTTGACAGATGTCTGAAAAGTCAAAACTCTTGATTTCATCACCTGTTTATCACTTGCCAATTGCAGACAGGATAACAGTAAAATGCAGCTGCAAATTACTTCCTTGTTGGTAAACTCATTAAAAAAGTCCCAGCTTCACAGACCCCTCTCTGCACAGCTTTATAATACTCATCTCCAGTAGGTCAATTGTTTCTTTCTTTATCTGAAGAAAACAAAGCCAAAGAAAGCATAAAAAGTTACTGAGTATTTATTTATTCAGATACCTTACTACAGGACTAGGAATTAAAAAAATTCCCGTACAAGATCCTCTAGAATGCTCCCATTTTCTAAAACATCTAGCATTTGCTCTACAACCCCGAAGTACAATTACAGCTCCTGAAGTCCCAAATAACGTGGCTACAGAAAAGCTGTCACTGGTAAGTAGTTAAAGCATGCCATAGCAAAATGTTCATCCTGGGCTGGAAAATCCCTATAGGGCTTTACAGAGTAACAACTGGGATCAAGCAGATGAAAGGCAGTACCACAGGCACAGCGCTGTCTGTGTTTGAGACACCTGAATGAAAGTGGGCCTGAAGGTCAGGTCTGTATGTGCTGCGTGCAAAGTACTTTGGCTTATAACACAGATATGGTTGTAGCTTATTGCTTATCTAAAGATAAAAGACAAATGTATTACAGAGTAAATATCGACTACATATTTCAAAGGGAACACAAGATTCTTTATGATCATGGTTAGTCCAGAGTTCCCTTATAGCACCCTCTTCCCACTTAGAAATAACTTATTTGAAGTTTTCTCTCAGGATTATACCCTTCTATGTCTCCACTTTGCACAGGAACAAATGATGTAAGAAAGCCTCACCCATCTCTATTCCACACTGGATGTGCTACATGAAGGTATAAACAGTTGTCTTTCTTTCACAAACCTTTTCCATTTCTCACAATCCTTTTTACTTTCATGAAGCCTGAAACTTCAACCTTCCATATTTTCAAACTTACTGAAGGCTCAGTCTGTGTATTGTTTGCAGACAATACAATATCGGTTTTTGTTGAAAAAAACTCCACTTGAATCTTATGAACAAGTAATTCAAGGAGTTGAGGCAGCTCTGTATTGCCATCAACCTCTGTACATAAAAGCTTTCAAAGCAGGAAGCTCGTCCTTTGGTCAGATCAAAAAGTATACAATCAATTTTTATTTAGACCTTTATGCTTTACTATAACTCCAGTGTGCCAAGACAAAGTCTCATAAACTCATTCATCCCTCCTGTGGTTTCTTTGAGAGCTTTCTTTTTATCTCCTTCTCTCCATTGTCTGGGATGAATGAAGCAGGAGACACAAACAGAGAATAAAAAAATCCAACAGCACTAACTAATGAAATATTGAGGCAACTCACAGAGCAGTGGATCAGGGCACTATCCATTATGTGGACATGATGGGATACAGAACTGTCATGTGGAAAGATTCACGTGTTTTTGAAATCGTGTATTTATCAGAATATACCACTGTGTACATAATTCTCTGGGTGAGTACAAAACCAGCAAATAGAACGGTTTTGGAATAGCTGTTTTTGCTTTCTGGTGTAATTACAATGAAATTTAGCAATGTGGCACCTTAATTATGCAAAGAAGTTATTAACAATTGAGGTTTGCAGTGAAAATAGGCCAGTATGCTTAGTTTCTAATTTTAAGTATACAATTTTTCCTTCACAACTAACACTGGATGAAAGAACTTAGTACATTGAACTGCCAGTTCTCTCAATTATGCTTTTGGTACTGTATTTCCTCTCTGAGAAGACTTATCCATAGCATGTATCTGACAATTTTTATACAACTAGAAAAGCTAAGACTGTATTCCATATTTTAAGTCTACAAGTTGATACATCCCATTGGTTTCTATGTGGTGTTAAGATGCCTTATCACCAAAACATTATTTGCATATCTTTCATTGCTGACATTCCTCATAGGTAACTTTCAGGAATCTGCCCGAGGTCTGCAGTGGGAAAAATTGCTGCAAGATACTCCACTTAGACAGCTCAAAATCTCAAAAATCTTTCTGTATGTTGTGTTACCTGAGTCAAATGCAGGTTTGAAGATTTTTCTGTAATTACATATTCACTGGTTTGTAATCACACATCAATATCTACTGTTTATAGTAACAATGTAACTGAAGGTGTAACATTCTTATTTACTTGGGTTTACCTTGAACTAAGCCTTAGCTTTTTATGCTAAGATAACCTTAAGATTTTGCCTTTATAAAACACACTCGGAATCACAATTTTTTGCCTCCATTCCTAGACAGACATGCAGAAATGCTGTGGTATTAACTAGAGTGAGCTGAAGGGTATAGTTCAGGTTTGCAATAGCCCAGAATGAAATGATAATCTTTGTTTTTTAGAGGTGCATCTCCTATGCAGTTCTACAGTATGCATATTTACTTCAGTTGACTTAAAAAATCCATCCCACTGCAATCAGCACCTTTCATACTGCTATGTCTGTGAATTTGTGTTTTCTGCTCTTTAAGAAACTTAAGAGATATGTGCCAACATCATACAAAAAAGCCTTGTGCGTTAACCACACGAGGGAGCCTCCTTGCCTCCAAAAAGCAAAGCCAGGTTTTTTTGCTACTTCATTTCTGCAATGTATTTTTTTGCGGGGCCCTTTCATAGAATCACAGAATCAGCTGGGTTGGAAGGGACCTCCGAGATCATCAAGTCCAACCCTTGATCCGCTACTGCTGCAGTTGCTAGACCATGGCACTAAGTGCCACATCCAGTCTTATCTTAAAAACCTCCAGGGATGGAGAATCCACCCCTTCCCTGAGCAGCCCATTCCAATGTCTGATTATCCTTTCTGTAAAGAAATTCTTTCTAATATCTAACCTAAATATCCCCTGGCACAGCTTAAGGCCATGCCCTCTTGTCTTACTGTTAGCTGCCTGAGATTATTTGAGATTATTAGAAACATCTATCTTTGTATATGTGTGACTGTAAAATGCAGCACATTCAAATACATGGACAAGTACATGGATGGATTAATGACTGATAAAGTGTTTCACTTCAGCGTAATGTCCATAGGCAAAAAAAGTCCTCTTCCCTGGAGATTCTGCATGTAGGCCTGCTCTAATGTGCAAAAAAATGAAAACACTGGGCAGGAATCTGCGAGCTTTGTAACAACCACTAATGGAGGAGTCTGGCTCTTCATCTGGCTAGATACCAGGTGATGGCCCACAGCATATGGTAAACATGTCTTGTCACAGCAATAAATACAAAAGCTGGACTACAGAATTGAAAATAATTGGGAATTATCCTGAGAGGGATCTGCAAATGATGGATGGCTCTAAATAGTTTGTACCCTATGTCTTGTAAAAAAAAGGCAAAAGAAAGAAAAAGAAAAAAAAAAAGAGAGAATTGTCTGAAGACTTACTTACAAGATGTTATCTTACTCTCAGATGGAGAAAAATAAATGCTTGTCCAAAGTTTTATTTAGTTTTTGAGGAAACTTTTCATAGAATCACAGAATATTCTGAGTGGAAAAGGACCCATAAGGAGCATCAAGTCCAACTCCTGGCCCTGCACAGGACCAACCCAAGAATCGCATCATGTGCCTGAGAGCATTGTCCAAATGCTTCTTGAACTCTGTCAGGCTTGGTGCTGTGACCACTTCCCTGGGGAGCCTGTTCCACTGCCCAACCACCCTCTGGGTGAAGAACCTTATTCTAATATCCAACCTAAACCTCCCCTGACACAACTTCAGGCCATTCCCATGGGTCCTGTCACTGGTCACCACAGATAAGAGATCAGTGCCTGCTCCTCCTCTTCTCCTCATGAGGAAGTTGTGACTGCAATGAGATCTCCCCTCAGTCTCCTCTTCTCCAGGCTGAACAGACCAAGTGACCTCAGCTGCTCCTCACACGGCTTCCCCTCAAGGCCCTTCACCATTTCGTTGCCCTCCTTTGGACACTCTCTAAGAGCTTAATATCTTTCTTATATTGCTGTGACCAAAACTGCCACAATATTCAAGGTGAGGCCACACCAGGTCAGAGCAGAGCAGGACAATCCCCTCCCTCGACTGGCTGGTGATGCTTTGCCTGATGCCCCCCAGGACACAGTTGGCCCTTCAGGTTGCCAGAGCACTGCTGACTCAGATTCAATTTGCTGTTGACCAGGACTCCCAGGTTCCTTTCTATGGCACTGCTTTCCAGCAGCTCATTCCCCAGTCTGTATGAACATCCAGGGTTGCCCCATCCCAGGTGCAGAATCCAGCACTTTCCCTTGTTAAACTTCACACAACTGATGATTGCCCAGCCCTCCAACTTGTCAAAGTCTAGGATTTTGTACAAAGTCTTCTTACTGAGAGAACTTCCTGGGAACAGGCAGAACAACTATCTA